TCCTGGCCCTAAGGATACCACCACAGGCTAAATCTAAGTTTAAAAATAAACTCATGTTCTACTGGAAAGCTAAGCCCTCCTTGAGAGTTTATACCACAAAAAGCCCTACCCAATGCAACCCCAATTAAGGAAAGCTCTCAAGTAAGGGTTGTTCCTACCTCCTGGGGCTGGTATCTAAAATCCCCAGCACACACAGAAGGCAGGCTAGTCAGTAGCAAGAGAAGAGTCTGCATGGTTGTCTCAATACATTCAAGAGTAGGGAACTGAGACTCACGGGAGGCACCAATAGAGAGCAGCAGTGCCTCAAGTACTGATTAACACAGAATTAAAAATAAACAGTAGCCATTAGTTTCTAAAATATGATTATGCCCATTTAACCAAGAAAAAATGAACCCAGAACTTAAGCCACCTGTCCTGAGTGCAGCACAGCTGTTAAGAAAAAGCAGAGTCAAGCTAGAACGCCTGGGCTTGGATGCTGGCTTATCTGCTTAGCTGTTTTATATGGGTGATTTCCGTCCCATCAGTGCCTCAGTCACCTCACCTGCGAAACAGGGCTAATTACAGCACTTACTTCAAAAGGTGGCTCTGGGCACTAATTCTGTTAACAGAAAACCTTTAGAAAAGTACCTGGCACAGAGCAATCAGTAAGTTGCAGCTCTTAAGCAGGTGAAACTGGGGCTAAAACCAGCTGACTCCAAGTCAACACCACTGTTCTGTTGTATCCAGTTAATTCCCAGGGTCCCTAGGGCCACTTTTTGACTGTGTCAGAGTAGCCAAGTTATCGCTACCCAGCTCTCTGCCTTTACGTGGGGGATGTCTCAACTCTGAGGCCCTAAGCTCCAGTGGAGAATTCAGAGTTGCTTTCTCAGGGCCTGGGCTCAGGTGGCCCAGCTCTGACCCTAAGGTTTCCCTTGGCACCCAATAGGCTGGGGATGGGGAGTGCTGGGCCAGTGGGGGTGGGGGGTGGGGGGCTTTGGTTTGCGGGCTGGCAGCCAATCCACAGCCAAGACCCGGGTCTTGCTCCCCATCCTACCCTGTGCTCAGCGACTGAAGTCCACTTCTACTTCCTCCCCTACTCCCCCATGCCTCTTTACTCCCAGAAGGAACTTGTTTTCTGGGATACCCACCACCAGTGACGTTAACTGTGGTCACTTGGGCACGTTTTGTGTGCCTCTTGGAAGAAATGTTGCACAGTTTCTTCTAACAGTGCACAGTGGCTCAGCCACCACTGGCTCTCAGTGCACAGACAGGACTACCTCCTAAGGGCCTAGATTCCCACCCATGTCAAGCCACTTAAAGATATCTTGAGTACAGCAAACTTTAACTGGTAAAGTACTAGTGTCTTACAAATTAGAATAAGCTAGGATCCCACTTTTCTAAACTAATAATTCAGTATTCTGAGCCTTGAGAGTTTGTCCTGGTTATATATACACATATTTGTCCTTATTTGTTGCTATTTGTCAGAAAGCTCTGTGCTATTTCTTCATTTGCCCTACTACGTGTCAGTGTGTGTATCAGAGGGAGCACCAGTATTCCTGAGTTTGACAGTGAGCTGGGGCTCACCAGCTGTCTTCTCAGTGGCGGTAATCTTGACCTTAGTTTTAGGTGCTTTTGGCACAGGGTCCTTTAGTAAAGGAAACAAGGGGATAAAAGCAAACTGCTGATGCTTTCATTCCTCTGTAGGGTTGAACAAAGACACCGACTCATCAACCCAGTAACTTATAGGATTGTTAGTCTGATTTTAAAAAACCCTGGGGACTGGTTTGAATGGTACCATTAACTCATTTGGGGCCAAGTCAGCTCTTTTCTGGCTTCAGTTTCCTTCTCTGTGAAACACAAGGCCAGATTAGGCATCCAAGACCCCTACTGATTCTGAAACTTCTGTTCTCCAAATAATGATCTGGGTAGGACTTGTCGAGTCTATGTTCTGAGAGAAACCGAAGCCGTAAGACACAGAAATCCATCAAAAAAAGTTGGATCAGACCAAGAACTGAGGTATGGAGTTTCCCTTTTCTTTGGATTATTTCTATGTCAAATGACTATAGAAATGTCTGAGTATTCACTAGAGAACCGGTACTGAAAGAGGAAAAGCAACTATTCTCTATTTGGCTTAACTGTTAAATCAATCCCACTTTCTCTCTTCTCTCCCTATCCGCATGGCCCTAGGCAGCCGCCTTTTAAGCCCATTTTCTCTGCCAACTTCTGATTCTTATTCCTGTTAATTCTGCACATCTGTACTGAGTCCTTATAGAGCCAACCTGCCTTTTCCGCTGGTGACCTTGATTAGTATGAAGTCTTCCACAGGTCCTCAAAATTTTCAAATTAAGTTTCTTTGGGGAAGAGAGTGTCTTTTCCCCCACCTGCAAATAGGCTATAAGGACTCATTAAAAAGTATGTGGATTTGGTTCAGTTGAGACTTTAAGGCAATTAGCACTTTTTGGTCTTATTTCAAAATTACTCTAAATTGCAGGAGACTGGGCAGAAAGTGACTACAAGTGACTTTATTGACAGAGATGAACCAGATTATCTCTAAAATTCCTTCCAACTGACATTTCTGAACGCTACCAGTGTGCCTAAACCCAGTGCCCCTGGGCAGATTGACTGCTAAATTTTGGAAGCTGAAGTCAGGAAAAGTTAACCTGGAGTGATGTGGGTCTTTAGTCTACACTTGAATATTAACAGCAAACACAAAACAAAAACAAATGCATATTTACTGACTGCTAACTTAACACTTGAAACGTAAACCTGAATGGCAATTTTGTAAACTGAGGCAATGCCCATTTTCTTTACTGCCCCTATGGCTGATCCCAGAACATTACCTGACTCATAGCAGAGGCTCAAATATTTTGAGGACTCTAAGCAATTGAAAAGGAACATATGAGCCATGTGGCCTAAAGCAAAACATTTCATTTCTCTAGGCCTCAGTTTTAGTTCACAAAGGGAGGACGAAAACACCAGCATTTCTGTCAACTTGGTGTTGCTGACAACACAGGCAATAAGATGTGTTCCGTAGTCAAACAAGAAAGGGAAACTTGAACAAGAATACCGGGCATCTCAATTCCACTAATGGTGGGAAAGATTCAAAACATAGCCTGAACTTGCTAGACAGTTAAGTCCACCTTAGCTGAGCACCTACTGACATTCCGAGGCTGCAGAGCAACCGTATGACATATCTTATGGATAAAGGAATGCTCCTCACAAGTTTTAAATGACTTGTCCCATGTCTCATGCAGTCAGTTCTGACCAGCCAAGACTGAAAGCGAGTGTAACCCCAAAGCCCATGGTATTAACCTCTAAGCCATGCTGCCACTGTTTACTGCGGAGTTCTGAGAAACTGTACACGTCAGAGAATTTTAACAGTATATGGTGAGAGGAAGCAAAGACTCTAAACCCAGGTGCCACTGAGGATTGGCATCAATGAATGCGGACAGAAGGGGATCATTTGGCAAAGTGAATTCCCATTTCCCAAGGGGAATGAGTGTGTAATATGGACTCCTGACCATTCATTGACCAGAATGGAAAGAGTCTGATGGAAGTAAAGATTTGTAGAATACAGGTAAGGTAAAATAATCTCCTGGAAAGTCTTCAAAAACAAATATTCACCTGAGGAGAGGGTGGGCTTTTCAGAGTGGATGAAGCAGAGATGGGTATAAAAAGTGGAAGCCTATTTTTAAAAAGGACTCCAGGTGATACGGATCATGTCCCTCCATCGTCAACTGACTTGAGGCAAACTAGTTCTCTTGAGATGGGCTTGTAGGATCTTAAAGTTGGGCAAAAGCTGGAAACGAGATGCCCTATCCAACCATACCCAAAATTTTACCCGTTCTTGAAACATCAGTTCTAGTTCATCCTTAAGGTAGGGAGGGCACCATTACCCAATGTGAAAGGATCTAGGCATTGAATGCGACAGATTTGGGTTTATATAACTTAAGCTATGAAAAATTGTAAGGAAACCAGGAGTACAAACTGACTCTCCTTGAAAGTTGGTTAACCTTGCTCAAGTTGTATTTGATAAATCCTTGGTTATCAAAAGAAGATAGCACTTACACAAAGTTATTACCTAAAATAACTTCTGTAGACTCCTAGGAAGAGTAACCTCTTTCCTGAGAAGGGAGCTCAGACTTCTAGCCCACTCGCCCAGTCCTCTCTGAACAGATTGTTGGTTACTTGTAGTCCGAACAAGACATGCGAGTAATGAAGGCTCAGGATGAATACACTCCCTGACAAAAGTTAAAACCCCAAAACTACAACTAGCTCTCCCAGGACTGCAAAACTCCCTTGTCTCACTGAGCCCTATCTTCCCTATAAACAAAGCCTCAGAGGATTAAGAAAAAGATTAAGAATGTAAAATAGAAAAAAGATGGTTAGATCATGTTATGTGACAGTTCTAGGCCCCACCTGCGTGGTTATTATTCTGCAGGTCCCAGAGGATTTAGCCAGAAAACCGCCAGTTTGCTTGACTGCTCTGGGATGAGGGGTTGGGGGGTCTCAGAGGAAAAGGCAGGAAGCAAAAGTTTGGGGGCTGGGGCTGGACGGTGTCAGGATATTTGGAACCAGGCAGGGAGGGGGTGAGGGGGGGCCCAGTAACACCTTTTTGTTTTCTTTGCTTTGGAAAGTAAAGATAAGAGGCCCTAGAGATTGAGGAGGGCTAAGCAGTTTTTCAATCGATTCTACCAACTCTGAACCCAACCCCCTCTACGACCCTGCTCCCATCTTAAAAGTGCTCGATATTTAATGATAATGGTTCACATCTGCTGAGCACTTACTAAGATAATGGTTAGTACTTAATGAGTACTTGTTATGAAAACACAAGCTAACGTTCGTGCTGGGGACTGATCCTGGGTCCTGAAATAGAGGCGGCCCGGGAAAAGAGGGTGTGTCTGGGCCCAGGGTGACAGGACCAGGACCAGGGCCTTGGGATCTGGGGGCAGTTTGGGCCGAGGGATGTAGGGCCGAGGATGCAGGCCCTGCGCGGGCCACATGGCCCGTGGCGCTCCTACCTTTCAGCGAGGTCTCCACCAGGCGCAGGTAAAGCTGCGAGCTCTTGTTGCCGTGGCTCATGCGCTGGGCTAGCCCGTTGCGCTGCAGGACGCACTCCTCAAACTGCACTACGTTCTGGTGGCGCCGCTTGAGGCTGGTCAGGGCCCAGAACTCGGCCAGCGCCAGCTCCACGTTTTCGGGGGCGTCGCAGCGAATCTTTTTGACCGCCACCCGGGCCCCACTGCGCCCTGCCACTGCCTCGTAAACCACGCCGTAGCTGCCGCGCCCGATCTCCGCCAACAGGCTGTACCGCGGCCGAGCCGACCCGCCGCCGCCCTCTGGTCGCTGCCGCACCGGGTAGGCCTCGCCCGGGGCCTCGGCCTCCACCGGATCCATGGCCTGGGCTGCCGCCGCCGGCCTCAGCTTCGCGCTGGGCGCCCGCGGCACTGGGCTTCGCCTTTTCCGCGCGGGGCTTTGTGTACCTCTACGGGTGCCGTCCTCTTCCCCCGTTTCCATGGCTGCGGGCGGCGAGGGGAGCAGCAACGGCGCTGCCCGGGCCCCCCCGGCCTCATCCCTTCGTCCAGCCCCGGGACGAGGAGGAGCGGGACCTTGGATCGTGACCTGCGGGCGAAAGAATTGGTTAAACGAGGCCGAGGAGAGGAGGCAAAGAGCGCAGGCCGCAGGGCGTCCGCACCTCCTCCTCCGACGGCCGCGGCTCCTTTAAGACGGAAGCCACCGCCAATGACCGAACAGGAGGGGAGGGGAAAGCGGGAAAGACGGAACCAGAGGGCTATGGCTCAGAGGGGGAGCCGGAAAGAAGAGCAAAACCACCCGCCTTCTCAGTTAATTTATCGTGTAAGAATAGGAAAAACAAGGACAAAAGGCCTTCACAATTTATGGAAATTGCCTTAAAAAACAGTTTGGAGTGTGGAAACCATTTTTCCTACCTGACTCCTCTGGGATCCCCCTCCCTACGTTCCGCCCTGTGTTCTCCCGGGTGTAAACAGTCCATTGAATTAAGCCCGAGCCGAGCCCAACGAACCGACCCACATCCCCGAGGGCTCTGGGTGGAGGGCGTTAACGTGGAAGTTCGGCGTCCCTGAGCGCGCCAAACTTGGGGCCCGTTTGCCTCCCCAAGCGCCCGAGGCGGCGGGGGTTGCTCCAGCATCAGCGCTTGTTTTCACTTCGCGGGCCGCGCCCTTACTTACCTGGTCGGCGCCCCTCCACTTCCGGGCGGTCCGTTTCCCCGCTGGGGCCCCCGGCTGGGGATGGTCCGCTCCAGGCCCGGGCTGCCGCCGGTACGTAGCACGGCGAGTGGCGCTGGCCTGGGCCAGGCGAGCTACTGAGCCTGTTGCTGCGCGGATGGTGGCAGCGACGCTGGCGGGGGAGAGCCGGGTGTCCTGACTCCTGCCGCTCTCCGCGTGTTCTCTCCAGCTGAGTCTTTTACATAATCTATTTATAAAAGTCGAACCTCCCGCAAGCACTCGGGCCAGTGGGGGTTCCTGGTGGCCCATCCCCTGGGAGGCCGTTGGAGTACCGTGCCTCCCGGGTCCTGCAGAGGTCGACAGAGCAGCCGCAGCCCGGCGCACCGGGCACGTTGCACCGGGGTCCAATCACAGGCGAGAACACCCCACCAACAAAAAACAGGCGCCAAATTCACGCGATCAGCTGCGGCCGCGCTGTCTCCGCAGCTGTCTGCGCACCGTAACTGCCTCTCCCTTTCTCGCCTGGGCTGCGTGTAGGGGAGCTACCCGCTGTAGGCGCCTAATAAATACCAGTTGGTTGATTGGATTGGTCCGTTTGATTGATTCATAGGTGGTGCCTGGGAACCGCCAGGGACTGGGTTGGAATCTACACCCTGCCTCCTATTAGCCGGTTTATCCCGGGTAAATCATTTCCCCACCCGGGACCTGTCTCCTCTTCTGCAAAATGGGTAGACTGATCTTAACCTCCCGGGGTTGATAGCGCCAAGTGAATTGAATGTATATGAATATAAAGTGGCTAATTGGGTGCAGGGATGAGGTTAGCGCTCAGTGTAAGGTCCATTTAGGTATGGATTTTTAAATACTTTGTTAAATGTTTTGTACCCCAATGCCTAGTAGGTGCCCATCATTTGTTAACTGAATCTACAGATATTTACTGAATGCCTGTAATGTGCTAGGCACCATCCCAAGTCTCTGGGAGTAAAGCAGTGAACAAAGCAGACTCTGCCTTAGTTGAGATTCTATGTCCCTGGAGGAGACAAATATGGGTGAACTTGTGCAAGTTGATTAACTTTCTGTGTGTTTAATTGTTATCTGTAAGAAAAAACAGTAGTTGGAGAATTCACTGAGGTTATACAGTTAGAACAGGACAGGGCCTTGCACACAATAATGTTAGATGTTATTAAATAAACAAGTACACGGGATAATTTAGGACAAGATAAGTGTGATGGATAAAAAGAGTTGAAGAGTGTCTAGGGGTTGGGAACAGGCCACCTCCAGTAGTATGGTCACTGAAAGACTAACATCTTTTGAATAAAATTTCAAATTTACATATAAATTGCAAGAATAATAAAGAATTATCATATACTTTTCAACCAGAATAGCAAATTATTATTTTACTGTATTTGCATTATTATATTTTCTCTTGCATGTGTACTTTTTTCCTAAATCATTTTAGAGTTTCAGATATGCCCCTTTAATCCTGTATACTTTTGTGTGTATTTCCTAAGAACATGGACATTCTCTTGTATAATATCAGTACAATTATCAAAATCAGGAATTTTAACAATGATATGATTCTTTTATTTAATACACCTTCCATATTTAAATTTTGCTAATTGTCCCTATAGTATCGCTATCCCTTAGGATCCAATTCAGGATCACATGTTGAGTTTAATTGTCATGCCTGTTTTTAGTTTCTTTTAATCAGGAAAGGCAGTTAATTACTCAGCCTTTGTCTTTCATGACCTTGCCATTTTTGAAGAGCACTGGTGACTTATTTGTAGATGTTCCTGAATTTGAGTTTGTCTGATACTTTCTTCCGATTAGATTCAGGTTATGCATTTCTGGCAGGAATATCACTGAAAGAAAGTTGTATCCTGAGTGTGTCACATCAGGAGGCACATGACATTGATTTGTTCTAATCCTGGTGATGTTAACTTATCATCTGGTTAAAATGATGTCTGCAAAGAACTCCACTGAAAAGTTACTAATTTTGCCTTTATAACTATTATCTTGTGAGAAGATATTTTGAGACTATTTGTCCAGTTCATCAGACTCTCACCCACTGCTTTTAGCATCCATTGATGATTCTGGCCTCAGTCAATTTTTATTATTATTACTGTTGTTGTTGTTGCAAAATGGTGATTAGTGAATGGCCTCTGTGTTAGTTTGCTAGGGTTGCCATAACAAAATAACACAGACTGGTTGGCTTAATAGAAATTTATTTTCTAACAGTTCTGGAAGCTAGAAGTCCAAGATCAAGGTGTTGGCAGGTTTGATTTCTCCTGAGACCTCTCTCCTTGACCTGCGGTTGGGTTCCTGTGTCTTCACAAGACCTACCTCTGAGCAGGTGTCTTTTCTTTTTTTTTATAAGGACACAAAACATGTTGGAATAAACCCACCCTAACAGGCTCATTTTAACTTAATCACCTCTTTAAAGACATTATCTACAAATACGTTACATTCTAAGGTATGGAGGCTTATGAATTTGACATAGGAATTTGGTGGAGGGGACACAATTCAATCTATAGCAGCCTCTTTAGAATATGATATTTGAACTGAGATCTAAAGCCAACCATGCTAAAGCAGGTGGAAAGGCATTCTAGGAAGAAGGAACAAGTACAGAAACCGTAAGACAGGAATCAAGACTGATGCTCAACTTCAACCAGTTGGTGAGAGTGTAAAATGGTACGACCACTTTGGAAAAAAAAAGTCTGGCAGTTTCTTATAAACTTAAATATACATCTGCCCAATGGCCCAGCAATTCTATGCCTAGGTATTTACTTAAGAAAAATGAGAACTTACATTCACAAATACACTTGCATAAGAATTTTATATTAGCTTTCTCCATGAGTCCCAAACTAGAAATCAGTTCAATGTTCATCAATAAATGAATGTATAAACAGGTTGTGGTATTCCTATATCATGAAATGCTGCTCAGGGGGGAAAAAAGGAATGACGTATTGATACAACAACATGAATGAATCAAAATAATTATGTTGAGGGAAAGAAGCTAAGCACAAAAGAATATATACTGGGTGATTCTATATACAGTTCTTGAAACTGAAAACTTATAGTGACAGAAAGCAGATGAGTAGTTGAGGTGGGTTGGGGAGAAATGGGATACGAATGTAAATGAGGAAATTTTGGGGGGTGATGGATGTGAGCATTATCTTGAAATTATCTTGTGATAGTTTAAAGGGGGGATATGTTAAAAACACTTCAAATTGTATACTTTAAATAGTTGCAATTTCTGAACATCAATTTTACAGTTTTGCCTCAACTAAACTGTAAAAAACTGGGGGAGAAAAGAATACATACCATATGATTCCATTAACATAAAGTCAAGCAATACTGATCTATGGGGGCAGGATTCATATCAGTGGTTATTTGGGGGGCGGAATTGACTGCTAAGGGGCACCAGGGAATTTTCTTGTGATGGAATTTTATTGTATGTAAATTATACTGCAATAAAGTTGAGTAAGAGGTGAAAGACAAGCCCTAACCCTGCCACCATCATGATACCTGTATCTTTACTTAGAGTTTCTAAGCATAGAAGGCTGCACGGCGCTAGGCAGGGCTGGCCCCATTTCTGCCATCACTAGCCTCATAGTTTGAGCAAGGCCAGCTAGTTTCTGTTCCAGCTAGTTTCCCCACCTGAGTTTTGAGAGAGATTGAATCTAAAATCCTGGGAACCACAAGGAGTATAAATTCTTTAGCATACTGGAGCAGAGCCATGTTACTTGGAAAATTGTTGATGGCTTTACCAACCTTTTTTTTCTTTATTTTGGTTTTTCTTAAGTTACAGAAGTAACCTAACTATTGTGACCAATAGCCAACCTTGATTAGAGTTGTCTATCTGTCAGGCACAGGAATAAATTAAGATTCTCGTGCCAGTCCTGTGATGTAGTTTCTATCATTGGCCCCATTTTACAGATGAAGAGACTGAGGGAGGCAGTTGCACAGCTAGGATGTGAACTGAGAATCCAGACTCTTCATTCTACCTTTCCCTGCTCAGCCCTTCCCAAGGTAAGCATTCTGTGAGCATTTATGGAAAGCCTTCTTCCCCACCTTTCTCTGTTGATGTGTATGCCTGTCTCCATGTCCTGCCTCCATATCCTCTGGAGCCTCAGATAGGGCCAGACACATGGTTGGAGCTAAGCAGTTAGTGACAGAAGAAATGGAGGACAGAGGAAAGGGCAGCAGTGAGACTTACGGCCCTGTTTGTGAGGGGCTGACACAGAAAATAAGACCCAGTGGTTCTTGGGTGATTCCAAATGACCTTAGTCCTTCAAAGGACAGTAAAGCAGGTAAAGGGATAGCAAGGTTCAGGGTAGGAGCTATTCTAGAACGGATGGTTTGGGAAAACCTCTCTAAGGAGGTGACCTTTGAACAGAAACCTGATTGAAGTAACAGAATCAGCCAAATGCATATCTACTGGAAGAATAGTCATGCTGGAGGGAAGAGTGAATGCAAAGGCCCTGGGATGTGAATGTGCAAGGAGGCCAGTGTGACTGGAGTGAGGGAATGGGGGAAGAATAGTGGGAAATGAGGAGGGAGAAATGGGGTAGGCCCCTGTCACAAGGCAGGGACTTGTGGGCCATGGTGAGAGCGTTGGGTTTATTGAGCATTTATTACATACCAAGGGCCATGCAACTGGATGTAGCTGGAGAGCTGAAGCTCAGATAAGCTGTTACTCTAAGAGCTGCGCAGAGTGAGGAGGCAGAATGGTGATGCTCCCTCCTCATCCCTGTCCTTCAGGGGCCTGGGAACGTCCGAGGGGCAGCCAGCCTTGGGGGTGGTTTGATGGGAAAACAGGGAGCTCTGGCCTGGGAGGGAAAGGCTGGGGGGAGTGGGGGAGTGAGGCAGGGCTGGCAGCTGGGAGAGGGGCTGAGTCTGCTCCAGTGCGCTTCAGGGAGGTTAGCCACGGATGAGGTGGGAGGGCTGGCGGCTGGAGGTGGCAGGGGGCTGTAGCAGAGAGTCAAGTGAAATGTTGGGGGGGTGGGTGAGGGAGGAACCCAAGGGAAGAGAGGCTCCTAGAGGGGTGCAGTAGGGAGACTTCAGATGGCCGCGAAGGTGCTGAAGGACAGAAGCTTGAGGTGACCCTGCTTTGGTAGAGAATATGCTCTGAACAGGGTCACTGGGAAGGACTGGGGGAGGCTCTGCGGCCGCTTGGACTCCCCTCCCATAACAGAACTGGATACAGGGGGCTCCAGGAGGGCTTTCTCCAAAAAAGCATAAAGCAAAGCTGGACCTCGTCCTGCTGCCTGATAGCACGCAGGTCCCAACTGTGTGGAGAGGCAGTTTGTCCCCACTTTATGAGTGGGAAGCTTGAGCCTTGGAAGCTGTTACATCACAAATGAGTAGGATAGTTGCATCTGAACCCTGGCCGACTTGAGCTGTGGAATCCAAGCTCTTAACCATGACTCCAGTGTTCTCCAACTTGAAGGCACATTAGCATCTCCTGGATGGCTTGTTAAAAACCAGATTGCTGGGCCCCACCCTCAGGGTGGCTAATCAGTAAGTTTTGGGGAGAACTTGAAATTTGCATTTCTATCTAGGTCCCAGGTGGTAC